ACTTGTAGCCTACTGGACTGTGAGAGAATAAACTTCTCTTTGTTAAAGCCATCCACTTGTGGTATTTCTGTTAGAGCAGCACTAGATGACTAAGACACAGGCCAACCCAGTAATGGTCTTGGGGACTGGGAGCCATTTAAGGTACTTGGGGAGCTGTACCTTCAGGATGCAGGCCCGCTCTCCAGCACCATCTTTGCCAGCAGTGTCCACCCCTCCTGAGCCCCCTTCGCTCTCTTTTTGTGTTATTTAAACGCTACTGTATTTCAGCAAGGCTTCCTAAAATAGGATGTGTGTCATTGTATGGCAATGTGTATGTAGTGTATTAAGTTCCTCAAGAATCTCTCCTTAAAAAACTTTGAATTGAATACTTTTGAACAACTGTGATTTGAGTAAAGCCATGACGGTGTTAAAAGCAAACAAAAAGGGCAGAACTCCCAGTCATTAGTTTACGGTTGCTGATGGTTCCTGTGTTCTCTGTGACTGTCGTAACTTTAGTTTTTGAAACCAGCTTGCTTTAAATAAATCGAAGATTTGTTATTAAAAAAGAAAATAAAATGTGATCACCAAGGATCTTATCAGTCTTGCTTTTTTGTTGGGCTTGGAGACAAGCATATTTTCCCAGGCGACAGTGAAGTAGGGAGGGAAGTTGGCTGTTTTCCTCATGAACAAGAAAGGCCTGTCCCTGACTTTGGGCATCACTGTGTTGCTCAAAATTGGCATTTTATCCTCAGTGTTGATAAGAAAGTATTAGGTTCACATCTTCTTATCTGACAATAAGTTAAATTATTGAATTTGAAAAATACAATATTATGAAAAATGTATTTCACCATGTTCTAACAGATGCTGCGAGTATAGTAGCCTTATGTAGCAAATGCACCGAATGTGCTCTAGCATGTTTTTGACACTATTTTCATAAGTGATGATATATCCTAACTGAAGCTTACTAAAATTGTTTTCTCCTCCAACTGTCATGAAAACATACCAAACTGTGCGTTTTATGTGCCCCTGATTTAGGAATATAAGATGCATATTCCTTTTGGCTTTCTACTCTTTGGTTGAGTTAGATTTGAAAATATGAGATTTCATCTTTCTGAATATTAGTCCAGTGAGTTAATTCATTTCCCAGATATGTAGTAATTCTTCTTCATCACTTGGATAGCGAACAGTAGGTTTAAACTTGAATATTTGTATAAAACATTTCTAAATTTCAAATTACATGTTGTATCAGGGAATAATGTTATGTTTTGTTTTGTTTTTTAACTCAGTGAGTCTCTTTAGGAATCTTCAAAGAAAGTCTTAAATATTTGTTCTTATCATTGTATGTTAATTTGTGTGTGTTGTACCTTTGCATCTTGTAATTCTTAAACCTTTTTTCCTTGTGAAACCCAGCACACATTAGAAAAGTAAAAAACGGAAATGTACAATTCATTTATGTATCACACAGCAAAACTCATGTAACTACCATCCAGGTCAAGAAATGGAACATTATCAATACCTCCAGAAGCACCCCTCATATCCCTTCCCAATCACCATTCCTTCTCTCCCCACCCCCAGAGTTAACCAAAACTGTGACTTTTATGTCATTTATTTTCTTGCTTTTCTTTATAGTTTTACCACCTATTTTTGCATTTCAAACACTATGGTTTTCTTTTGCCAGGTCTTTTTTGTTTTTTTTAAACCTTAAATAAATGAAATTATTCAGCTAGGTATCCTTTTGGTACAGCATTGTCACTCAGTCATGTTTGTAAATGTAGTTGTAACTGGTTTTTATTTTCCTGTATAGTATTCCTTGGAATGGACTCACCACAAATTATTTCCCCATCCTACTGTTTATGGACACGTGGGTTCCAGTTTGGGGTCATTATGAGTAATCCTGTTATGAACATCTTCTACACGTCTCTTGATAAACATTGCACATATTTCTGATGGGTGTGTACATAGGAGTGGAGTTGCTGGGCCATTTTGTTGTTGTTATTAGTTGCCATTGTGTCATTTCTGACTCATGGCAACCGTATGTATGCAGAGTAGCATAGGGTATGTCTGTTTTAACACTTCTAAAGTGGTGTCACTTTATGCTCCCCCCAGGGGAGTAGGAGAGTTCCCACTGCGCTGCGTCCTCCCACAGCTGCTATTGCCAGACTTTTTAGTTTCAGCCCATCTGTTGGTTGTGTAGTGTTACCTCATGGTTTTAATTCCCATTTCCCTGTTTACTAATGAGATGAAGCATCATTTCAGATATTTATTGGCTGAAGTAACTGGTACAACTGTGCAGTCTTTTTCTTATTGATATGTAGGTGTTCTTTACATATTCTGGATATGAACTCATTCTGTATTGCAGATTTCTTCTCCCATGTGGTTTTTTGCCTTTTCACTACCTTAAAAGTTTCTGTTGAAGATCAGAAATTCTTTATTTTAATGTTGTCAGATTACCCGACCTTTTTCTTTATGATCGGTGCTTTTGTGTCCTCTTTAGGAAGTCTTCCCTACCCTGAGATTATGAAAATAGTTCTGTATATTAACTTCCAGAATATTTATTCCTTTACCTTTTACATTTAGATCTAGAATTGAGTTTTTGGTGTGTCTTGAGGTAGGGGTTAATTTTTATTTATTTCTGTGTGGATAACCAATTATTCTAGCACCATTTATTAAAAAGGCTATCCTTCCCCACTGCGTTGTAGCTCCATCTTTGTTGTAAACCATGTATCCGTACATACGTACCATATCTTTATGCAGATAACACACACCTTCTATGTTTGCCAGCTGCGCCCTTCCTTTGCAAGGTATTTTTGTAAACACACTATGCTAATTTTTAACTGAAAGATGTAAAACAAATTGGCATTGTGGCACTTAAAAAATACCTCCCCGGGGAGGGTACAGTTGGCAAATGTCTTAGTCATCCAGTGCTGCTATAACAAAAATACCACAAGTGGATAGCTTCACCAAAGAGAAATTTATTCTCTCACAGTCTAGTAGGCTAGAAGTCCAAATTCAGGGCATCAGCACCAGTAGAAGGCTTTCTCTCTCTGTCGGCTCTGGAGAAAGTTCCTTGTGATACATCAGTCTTCCTTTGATCTGGGAGCTTCTCTGCACAGGAACCTGAGGTCCAAAGGACACGCTTTGCTCCCGGCACTGCTTTCTTGGTGGTATGAGGTTCCCATGTGTCTCTGCTCACTTCTCTCTTTTATATCTCAAAAGAGATTGGTTTAAGACACTATCCAATCTTGTAAACCTCATTAATACAACTGCCGCTAATCCATCTTATTAGATCATAGTGACTGAATTTACAACACATAAGGAAATCACATCAGATTACAAAATGGTACCGAGCCAGGTTGACAGATATTTTTGGGGGACACAATTCAATCCTTGACAGCAAACAAATGTAGAAGGTATGCATTATTTACGTAAAAGTACAGTAGATCTACGTGTGGTGTTTCTATTTGGTTCTGTTAGCCTGTTTCACATTGCTAAAGGGTTTTTGAAGATATTTTTCATTATGCTAAGGATGTTCTTTTCTATTCCTGTTTTCGTGAGTGAATATTGAATTTTATCTGCTTTTACTGAGATAATTACGTTTTGTTCTCTTTTTTTCCAATTAATGTGGTGAATATATTGATTGGTTTTTCAAATCTTAAATGAGCTTTGCATTCCAGTAATTACCTCCAATTTAATAGTTAAAGCAAATGTCTACAAAAAGGTTGAAAGTTCAAGTCCATCAACAGGCACCTTGGAAGAAAGGCCTGGCAATCTACTTCCAAAAAATCAGCCATTGAAAACCCTATGGAACACAGTTCTATTCTACTCTGACACGCGTGGGGTCTCCATGAGTTGGAATTGACTTGATGGCAACTGACAGTTGTGAGATAATACACTTTTATGTATTGCTGGATTTGGTTTGCTAATAGTTTATTTAGGGCTAGGGTTTTTGAATCTAGGTTTATAAATGAGAGCATTCTGCAATTTTTCTTTATCATAATGTCCTTGTCTGGTTTTGGTTGTAAGGTTTTGTTAGATTCTTAATTGAAGGTGAGGAGTGTTTCCTCTTTCTGCACTATCTGGAAGAGTTTGTGTAAGATTAACATTATTATTAGAATTTACTAAAGTCATCTGGGCTGGCTGAAGTTTTTTATTTTTTGTTTTGGAAATGTTTTTAATTACAAATTCAGTTTCTTCAGTAGTTATTATAAGACTTCATATTTTCTATTACTGCTTGTGTCCATTTTGGCTAGTTATATTTTTGTAGGAATATGCCTTTTTCTTCCAAGTTTTCAAATTTTTTGGAAGAAAGTTTGTTCATACTACCCTTTTATTTTTTCAATGTGTATAGAATATGGAGTAATGCCCTCCCTCCTCCCTCCCCCTTTTTTTTGCATGGCAAATATTTTTCCAACTTTGTATTTTCAACTTCTATGTATCTCTGTGTTTTACATGTTGGCATATAAATAGCAGATGCCTTTGTTTTGTTTAATCACATGTGACAGTCTTTTTCTTTAAGGCAAGGTTACAACATTTACACTTAAAATAATTGAGTTTAAATCTGTGTCTGTTTTTCAAGGTCAGTAATTCTTTAAAAACAAGTTTTCAAATTCAGAAAATAAAGTTTATTAACACCTATGAGTTATCTTCTCTTACATGAATATTAGTATGCAGAGATTTATGAAACCTCATCTCCTATTATTTCTTTGACTACCACATAAATGAATAGAGATTCAGAGATTAAAATACACTAAAGGAAATATTTCTAATCTGGTGTTTGGGAATTTGGCTTGCAACTCTCTTTATTGTGATTTGCCTATCTAATGCCAATAAACCATGCATCTCTTAATATATCTCTTTTGCAAAATACTATAAAATTTCATTTTTAATTACAGGGCTGTGGCTCCCAGATGAGCGTGTCAGAAATGTCCTGTAGTGAAAGTACATCCTCATGTCAGTCTCTTGAACACGCCTCAGTCCCAGAAATTCTCATCGGCCTGCTTTATAATGCCACAACTGGAAGACTTTCAGCAGAAGTGATAAAAGGCAGCCACTTCAAAAACTTGGCAGCAAACAGACCACCCAGTGAGTGAAAAAAAGTTTTAATTCTGATGTTTTCTGCACTTGTGGGACTCTGAGTGTTAGGGGCCTCAGTCCTATCGTTTAGTCTGAACCAATCAAAATGAAATGATGGCATAATCAGCTAATCTGTTTCAAGTTTTCTATTTCCAGTCATTTGGGAAGTAGAAAAATTTGAAATTCAAAATATTAATTGTAAGGTAACAGAACTTTTAATTTTTCATAGTGACTACAGAATAAATTGCCCCCATCTAGCCATTACATTCAAATGTTAGAAAAAGTTAGTGTTTTTAAAAAGTGGATAATACTCCTCAATGTTAACAGGAATGTGGATGGCTCTTGTTGACTGAAGACTGATGACGTGTTTCCTGTGTGCACGCAGTGCTATGAACTAATGTATTTACTTCTGATGTTTTCCTTCTTTTCTTCTTGAACAATTTAAGAAAAAACTGTCTCTTCGCCTTTTTTCTCCTTTAAAACTATAAACCAGTACTACCAGCAGAGACTTCTAAAATGGAATATCCTTTGCCTTTGCCAGGACAGAGCAAGGAACAGTTTGCTACTTACCCTAGATGCTAGGAAGGGAAAGCTAGATGTTCTGCCCCTGTCCTGTGTATCGCTCTCCTTATATTTCTCTCAGCTCAGTGGGAATGAGGAGTGGATTAGGGAAGTACAGAGAAATCGTCACCCAGTATACCTCCAAAACTGATTGTTGATATCTATGAGACATAAACTGGGAAAGTAGCAGCTGCTTTTATACTTTTCTAAAATCCAAGATGTTAATGTCCTAAACTAAAAATTTTAAAGGAAATCTTGAATAATAATGCCCCGTAAATTTGCTTAAAGATTTTTCACAGACTTGGGCAAAGCAGTCTTTTAGTCCAACTATCAAATAATTACTGAAAGAGGGGAAACTTTTTCCACCCTTGAAATAAAATAACTCTACTTCCAGGCATCCTAAAAATTCTGGATGTAAATTATCCTTTATTCAATGAAGATGAAAAGTCATAAAAATCATATTTGGTTTGCCCCAAGTAATATCGGAAACCTCGCTTCTTACATACATCATGGAATGTGTCTATCCCTGAATTAAAAGTCAGAAGGCTAAAATTATATTCATATTTCTACCCTTGGACAAGTGACCTAGCTCCCCCAAGTCTGTTTCTTTATGAATAAAAGTAAGGTCATGTCTCTCACAGGATTATTGTGTGACTCAAATCAGAGAAAGATACATAAAACAGGACAGAATTAATATTGTCCCCCTTCTTATTTCAGAAGGAAAAATTCAGAGGGAGGAAAGGAGCAGATACTATAATAAACAGATCTGAAAGTGTTGATTCTTTTCATTCACACACACTTAGAATGCAGACTCAAATGGCAACTTAAATGAGCAAAATTTGTAGATAAACAATAAGGAACATGGTGAGGTGTGTGACAAACTCAAGAGTGCATACTCTGCCTTAAGACATTCAGATTAAAAAAATCTGTACACTGTACCAGATAAAACATTGTTTAGGGTCACATTTAGCGACAGGCTCTAGCAGTTTGCCACTCTTGCTTTAGCTACAGTTTAATTTTTTAAAAATGACTAAATATTTAATTGAATATGCTAAAACACAGAGAAGAAATGGTATATTTGCCTGTCTGCCCCTTCTGTAGCCACTCTGATAGAAACAGAGAAACACTAATCAGAGTAAAATGGGTAGGGGGAGTGGCAGATAATGAGCAAGTGAAGGAGGAATGACTTGTCACAAGAATAGAGAGTATTATCCTAAATACCCAAGAATTCACTAAGTTGTGATAAAGACATTAGAAGGCTTAGCATACACAACATAGGGTGGATCTTTCAGGTTAAAGAGTAGGTTATAACAATTACCATTATTTTAGGATTAGATCTTCAGTATCAAATGGTTAATGATGTTGTCTGGGAGGTAACAATGAGTATATGTAAGTCAGCATTAAAAATAATTATATGAATGTGGAGTATTTATAGAGTAAAATATAAGACAGTCTTATCAATTTGTTCTAAACTGTATATATTACATAAGATTGTGACCCTTTGTATATACCTAGATTGTAAGTTTTTGAACTATGTTATATACTGAGTGATCTAGTTTTATCCAAAGAAACAGTAGCAACGTTCAAGAGCAAAAATTTTAATATTTATATTTTATTTTGCGTAACTTAATTTTATATTACAAGTAATAAAGTATTTAAAATATTAAATATTATATGGATAAAATTAAAATTTAGAAGAATAATAATGACTCTATAATGACTTCTATTCAGTCTTTTATAGTCTGATAATTTGCACGATTCTATGTTCAATGTGCTTTATACCAATAGGATATCATTATAAAGATGTCCCCTTTTTTTAAAGTGTAATTTTTGTTTAGGATTACTCAATGACCTTAAAAATTCTCATTCCATGAAATTTACCCAACAATCCTTTTGTTCAAGCCTCTACCTGAATTAAAATGCTAAAGTTTTGTGTTCTTCCACTCCAGTGAGCAGCGTTTCCTCTTTAATTCTGACCTTTGACCCTCTCTCACCCAACGATTGACATCTGGTCATTATTTCTTTTACTGCTTTCCACCCTCTGTTGTCAGATGGACTGTTCTGTTGTCTAAAACACTTGATAGGTGGACAGGTTTATATAATCCGAGGTGAGTTCCTGTAGAGGCTAATTGGATGTTGTCTTTTCATGCAAAAACAAGATACCCTAAAACTTGCCAGCAGTGAAGCTGTCCACCATGTTGGTTTCCTAAAAATTGCACATTTATTATCTGTGGTACTTTAAATAAAACTAACTTAGAATTTATCTCTGATTATGGATGATGGTATTCAGAATATCTACAAAACAAGCAAAACTTTTTAAAATAAAAGTTTTTATTTTTTTCATTCATTATATTTTGATTCATACAACAGAAATAAAGGAACCATTTCTTGAGAAGTATTGTAGTTTTCTTTAAAATTAATTGAAATTTTGATATGAAGTACATATGATGGATCAAAATGCTGAAGATCTTTTTGCATGAGTCTAAAAAACTTGAAAAAGCCATCTTTTAAAAAGAGGACTTATCTCCCAAATAATGAGACAATGAACTTTTACATTTCATTTTGTACACTAAACATCACATCAATTTACTTTAAAATTCATGAAAATACTCAAGATGTCATACTTAAAACTTCACATTAAATTGTGCCAAAAAGAACCCCTATGGTATTTATTTCAATTAGCCAAAAAGCACATTAAATGTACTCTTGCATGAAACCAGGAGAAAGTTTCACTTGGTTTGCTAAACTTTGAGCCCTTAATGTATTTAGCTTCATTTGGACCCTTTAATGTTTTAAAAATATACTTAAAAAACCACATCCATGCAGAGATTGTTTTGACATTTCATCCTAAGCTGTTTTATGTCATTGCATTCTTGTCTTTCTCTTTTCCTCTTCACCATTTGCCTTCATTTCTATTTGTTTGTTTATTCTGATTCTTTGAAAACACAGTGGAATGCTTTATAGTGTTGTGGCTAATTAAGCTTGCTAAGTGTTTATTAATGCTATGATGTCCTGCTTAGTGAAGCTCAATGGATATGGGCAGGGGTGGTAGTGGGAGGTCAAGGATGGGGTGGGAGGGTGGAGGAAGGATTATGAGGTATACCTTTAAATTCTAACTATGATGTAGAAATAGTGAGGTTAAGATATTATTATCCCAAAAATATTTTCTGGCTACTTAGCATTCTCTGTACTTGTCACATTTTTTAAGCAACTACATCAAAATGGAATTGGTTGAATTCCCGTTAAGCATGGTATACACCATATCCTTACAAAGTGTAAATACTTAATCTTCTTAGGAAATGTTGCAAGAGAGTTGTTTTGAGTTTGTTTCAAATGACGTTTGTGGTATATTGTTGTTTTTTTCCGTAGATACATATGTTAAGTTAACTCTACTGAATTCCATGGGCCAAGAGATGTCCAAATGCAAGACATCCATCCGCAGAGGGCAGCCAAATCCAGTATACAAGGAAACCTTTGTCTTTCAAGTGGCCCTGTTTCAACTTTCTGATGTGACACTCATACTATCAGTGTATAACAAACGTAGCATGAAAAGAAAAGAGATGATAGGCTGGATTTCTTTAGGTCTGAACAGCTCTGGAGAAGAGGAACTCAATCACTGGACTGAAATGAAAGAGTCCAAAGGACAGCAAGTCTGTAGATGGCATGCGTTATTAGAGTCGTGATGAATAGGCTAAACGAGCAGTCTCAGTCCAAGGCAGCATTATTTCTGGTTACAACATCACTGCTTTTATCTAGCTACCATTCGAAGACCTGTTCTTTGAAGAATCATATTCAACATTCTACCAAAATGCTGTAAATTTTGGGGAAAGAACATCTAATGCTTACATACATGAAGAAAAGATGTATCTCTGGTAGAGCTTGTTTGGGAAAAATGAGAAACTTATATCATCATTGTTAAATTAATAATCCTCCAGAGATTTAATAACATGCTTTTGGTTTGAAGTTTATTTTACTTTACCAGAAGGTCCAGTAATTTCATTAAAAATCAAAATTATAAGTGAATTAAAAAATCATAATTTTAGTTGTAACACTATTTTAGTACTACTCTATACCCTCCATAGAACATGTTTTGACTGGCCAGGTGTTTATAATCTTCTTTAATATGAAAAAGTACTTCCCCAATTTGATCATCTTATGTCATATCTAAGGGTTTCAAATGCATTGAAAATTGTTTTTTCAGATGTTTCCCTTCTGTGCTCTTAGTGTCATTGTGCCTGAGTTCTTCACAATAGCACTAAATCTAAGTGCAAGCAAGTGTTCATTTTCATAAAGTAATTTTTTTACATATTATCAGATAAGTCCATTTCTTCATTTGTCTCTGCTTTTGCCTGATCCAAAGAGACCAAGTCACTGTACTGGTCCCTTGCAAGTCTTTTAGACAGGTTGTACTGTAGAACTGCGTAACTTTCTGTTGAAAGCACTTCCAGTATTATATTCCAATGTAGGAAGCCAATAGAGCAGGACTGTACAATTTCTTTGAATGATTGACTCTTTAAAATTGTGGTAATATGAAAATACATTTTTTACAAACTGAAAATTACACCAGCTAAGCTGCTGAAAATTGAAAACAATTCAAGTTAAAGAAAATTTTAATTATCTGCTCTGAGTATTTTAGTAACCAGCACTGCATAAAGCAGGTAGCATTCAAAATAAATTGTTCTCTCTCTAAATCTTACTCACCCTTACTTCAAACAATTTATATTTGTGATCTAGAGACTATCCAGTTCTCAGTTTGAGTCAGAGCATCACGGTAAAAACAGTTGTGAAAATCCTTCTGAAGTTTCTAGTGACTTGTGACTAGATTTGATGAAATTTACAGGTAACACTCTTCAGGGTGATGTCATCCTGTGCCTTTCTTGTCAGTTACATTTGCTTATACAGCTTGAAAGTTGTATTTGCAAAATTAGGCCTTCAATTTTTATAAATGTAAAGATTCCTCAGAGCAGTGTCACAAGATCTTTATTTCCTCAGAGTTATGTAGAAGTTGTATAGTGTACTAGTTTTTTTAAATGGCAAGGTACTTTCATTTGTTGTTTTATATTTAGGAACTCTGATTAATCAGGAATATTATAAGCTACTTTCTTTTTAATTTTGCTTCTTACCCGGTAGCTAATTTTATGCATATACTTTATTAGAATGTCTTTTATATATATGAAAAATGTTTTCTTTTTTTCTCTTCCTAATTTCTAGTTAAACTAGACAAAAATGTTCTATTTACCAATGACTAAAAAGCAGCGTATCATTGTTCCTAGTCCCAGCTAAGTACTATATGTTATTCTCAGCTGAAACTTATTACCGTAATAACAAAACCACGCGTAGATATTATCACTTTAGCTCGGCTGTACTAAAAGGCCTTAAAAAGAAATCCAAAAAGACAGTGAGCTCCTAATATTTTTTAGTTGAAAAATGGCAGCTCTACACATTCATACACATAAATTGTAAGAAAAAATACAAGTGCTATGTTGGGTGACATGAAGTTTAAGAATGTATGTTAGGGAGTTGCATTAAAGAGGAAGATCCATTCTTTTATTGTTACACCAATGAGCTTTTTCCAGAGTTTTTTTAATAAATGAGTTAGTTTATGGAGTTAAAACATGAATGAAAAGGCATAATGCCTTATTTAAGCCTTTTTAGCAACAATATGAAAAAAAATTGAAGAGATATAGAATTAGTGAGAAATTAGATTTAGGTGTTTTATGCTGCAAGTACTTTTTCTGGCTTTGAGACCACTGACTACATTGCTAACAACTGGGATCCTCTTAAAAAGAATTAGCCATCTTATTTGTAGCTGTAACAAAGCCTAATCAAACACATTGATGAAACCAGCTTGGTGCTTTCACCTGATGTCATTTGTTAAACTACTTTTCTTCCAGTTATGCCCAGAACTGTGTGTGTGCTTTGCTATATCCTTAGGGTTTTATCTGGAATAAGAATCCAGTCCAACATGACTTAAAAATTAATCAACAATTAAAGAAAAATGAAGAAGGACCCTACCTCCACCCCAGCTGCCAAGTCCTCAGTGATTATGAATTATCTGTGTGTGTGTGTGTGTGTGTGTGTGTGTGTGCGCGCATCGATGCGCACACACACACACACACACACACACACAACATATTTTTAAAGACTTTTTTTAAAGTGAAGATGCCCTGGCTTTTTCCAATAACTGACTAGAAAATGTTTCTGCAGTTTGGGGATCATTTTCTCTTCTGTACGCTCACTAGGAATTGTATTCGGTTTTGGGTGCTATCTGCTGCCGTCTCCTTCACACACAGCAAAATAGACATCTTTTTATCCTGTGGATTGACACAGCTTAGAGTAATTACTCCCCAAAAATGTCTGTTCTTTTTGAAAAGGATTAAATAGGGCCCAAGAGACCCACTTCACTCTACTGAATCTAATGTACAAGACAGTACTACTACTTTTTGTGTGCTTGAATTTGCATGAAAGCTTAGAGGCAAAATCCTATATTTCAGTAGTTATAGCAAATAGCCGCCCACTGGTGGGCAGCAGGTGTTGGCTCAGAATCTTGAAAAAGACAACCCACTTTCTTATTGTTCTGTGAAAATCCCCTAAGTTTTATAATAAAGTAAGATAGTGGAAATATGGCAAGTGACTGGTATTTGTGTGAGCTCCTGAGCCCGGAATGACAGCCCTTGTCTCCCAGTTGAGCTGCAAAGTGGAGATGTTTTATTACTGCCTGGGGAACAAAGTTTATTTCAAATCAGTAAAGAATTTGTTTAGTGTAATATTCCTCTTACCTTTCAGAAGCTTGTTTACATAACTTGGTGTCTTCAGTACTGTCTGCATTTTATGTGAAATTTATTTGCACAGTATCTTACCAGACATTCAGTGAATCCTCAATAGCGTTGTATTTAGTGACAGAAATAAAAAATTAGATCACAATTTTAAAAAAGGAAAAACCAATGAGAAGATATCTAAGCTACCCTGATGAATATGTTGTTGTTGGCTGCCGTGCAGTCAGCCCCAGACTCACAGCAAGTCCGTGCGCAGCAGGATCTGTCATGATCTATAAGATTTTCATTGGCTGATTTTTCAGAAATAGATAACCAGACCTTTCTTCCTAGTCTGTCTTGGTCTGGAAGCTCCCCTGAACCCTATTCAGCATCGTAGCAACACACAAGCTTCCACTGACAGATGAGTGGTGGCTGCTGTTGAGGTGCATAGGCTGGAAATTGAACCGCCGTCTCCCACATGGAAGGCAGGAATTCTACCAGTAAACCACGACTGCCCCCCTGATTAATATATACATGTTTAAATGTAGGGCTTATAGGCAGTTTCTTCCAGCCTAGTGCAGATGGCAAGGGCTATATGTTAAATCAGTTTTTTGATTACCATCATTTTCATTTTGCTTATAAAGTGAATCAGAAGCAAAATCAGTGGTTGCAAAGTAAGGGAGCACAAGTAGGGAAAGTAGTAATACAAGTGAGGGTGTTCTTAAGATGAAGGTGGGTGGGGGCACCCAATGGTATCATAGTCTTTCAAGTGAAAGGAGACGCAGGGTATTTGAAGGTGTAAATTTAGTTGGAGGTAGTCAGAACAAATTTATTTTGAAGATCCATATCTAGATATGAATAGAAAGGAGAAGTTTATTTGCATAAAATTGTCATTTGCCTAGGTAAACTAGATAGTCAATTCGTAGAGAATTTTCACATTGATAGTTACTATTCACAAGTTTTCTCTTTTGTTCCGTTCACCAGTCTCAGTTCACCCATGGCCTACACTGGAGGTAGGCATCAGTATTATCATCACCAAGCCAACTTAATATTGAGCACAAAGTTATTTAAGGTTATTGAAAACATTATCTGTACCCACCAAGGTTTATAATAATGATAATGCTAACAGCCAGCATTTCCTGAGATCTGACACATGAATGCATTGTTTTATTTAATTCTCACAACACTATGATGTCATATGACCAACATTTTGCAGATGAAGAAACTGCAGCATAGAGAGAGGCTAGACTGACCTGCCCAAGGTTATCCAGTAGGTAAGTAGTAGGGCTGGGGTTAGAACAGATAGAAATTACTGTAACACCAATACTCCTTACCACTCTGTGTATTGCAATTGCAAATGCAAGACAGAGCAACAGTATCTTTGTTAATAATCGTGCCCACCTTAAACAATATTGAGTGGCAGAGCTAGAAAAAGAAGAAGAAGAAAAACAAAAAACAGAGCTCAGGAAAGAGAAATAAAAGAAGAAAAGAAGGTGAGAGATTTTTCCTCCTTGGGTCACAAATGGTACTTTGTGTCATACTTTATAGATGACTTCGATTTTCAAAGACTTGGGGATTCATTTATTTAATTTATATTCTGAAAGTATGTTAATCAGTTTGTTCTGTTCCCTGGCCACTCTTATGAGTCCGGGATATTTTAATTGTATGTGGTCACCTTTCTACCTGTGAAGTGGATAGCCTGTGTCGTTAGCCCATAGCTTACCTCTGTCAGTGGCGAGGAGGAAAACTCTTGTTTTCCTCTATGCTCCCATTGCTATTTATTCATGTTTTTCCTATACCCATTATAAGGTTGGACTGGAATTACAGCTAGTTTGATTACATAGTCTCTGTTTCCCCCCTGGAGCCCTGGGGGACCAGTGTTAAGAGCTCAGGCTGCTAACGAAAAGGTTGGCGGTTCTAATCCACCAGCTGCTCCTTGGAAACCCTGTAGTGCGGATCTACTCTGACCTGTAGGGTCGCTATGAGTCAGAATCGACTCCATGACTACTCCTCTACCTGCTACTGTCAAATCAATTCCAACTCATAGCAACCTCATAGAGGAGCCCTGGTGGTGCAGTGGTTAAAATGCTCGGCTGCTAACCGAAAGGCCAGCGTTCGAATCCATCAGCTCCTCTGTGGGAGAAAGATGTGGCAGTCTGCTTCCATAAAGATTTACAGCCGTGGAAACCCCCTGGGGCAATCATCCTCTGTCCTGTAGGGCCGCTGTGATATTTCCCCCTAGGCACTAGTATATCCCTTGTCTTGTCTTTATGCGCCCTTTTCCTGATAGTAGGCATGCAATAAATATTGAACTAAGTTCCCTGTGGAAGAAATCAATAATACTTTTGTGTAAGTCTCAGTTTCTGTGAATCCTGTGTTATGCATGGATTTATTTATTCCTTCATTTAATAAATATTTATGAGTACCTACTATATGCCTTGTTTTGCTCTAAATACTAGAGATGCACAGATAATAAATTTGATAGACAAAGTCTGCCATCATTGGGCTTGTGTTCTACCGTGGGAAAATAGCCGCAGAACGATGTCATTCAGTCTAGAATAACCAAGTGTGAAGATAAAGACACGTACAGAGGAGCTCAGGAGAGGAGTACCAGCCGGAGCTCAGAAAAATCTGCCTGGAAGAGACAACCCTGAATTGAGTCTTAAAGAACAAAACAGGTTAGACTCCCATAAGACTCCAGAACACAGATTCTCTCTAAGGGCAAAATGTAAAACAGTGGTTCCCAAACTTTAGTGTGCTTAAAGAATTACCTTGAGACTTAACTTGTATTCCAAAAATCTACCTCCACGGATTGTTTCCTTTGGTCTGGGGTGGAGCTCAAGAATCTATAGTATGTTCCTCAGGAAATGCTGTCTGAGATCTATTGGTAAAGAATATTGGGCTCATTGTATAGAGTTATTGATAGCAGTGTTCTAGTGTCCATAAATTATATCTTTAAGTGTTAAAGTGATAAATAAGAGAGTCCAGAGACCCAGGTTTGATTCCCAGCCAGCGCTCCTCGAGCCCAGCCACCACCCCTGTGAGTGAAAGTTTACATGCTGTGTGATAAATAAGAGAGAGATTAAGACTATGATTAGTGTTCTTGGTCTTATTCTTGTGCTTCCTTAAAAAGTCTTTTAATGAAAACAGATAAAGTGATACTTAATTACACGATCCTGTATGTTCATATTCAACGTAACTCTTTTT